TATATTGAAAGATTATGTTAAAGGGGCTCAACTCTAAAAGTAATTTTGACTGCACAAACTTATAGTTTGTCATTTATGGCAGATAAGTGATCAAGAGTTTAATCAGTACTAGAATCTGGGAGAATTTTCAAGATAATTTTTTTTTAACTGTGCTACAGAAACAGACACCATGTTTTCCCCATTTTCATTGATAACAGGTCTAGAATTTTCTCCAATATCGGGTCAGATACTGATATTATTATACATGCCACCCCAAACAGGTCAGCTTAACAGTTTGGGGTGATATCAACAGTAAAATCTCCCTAAACGAGTCATTTCAGATTAATTTCCTGATTTGTTTTTTTTTTTCTGATCTTTGCAGAGAAAATGAAATAGACCCCAGAAAACAGCCCTTATTGCTAGATTAGGTTTCTGGAGAGAAAAATGTGCATTAAGACAAATGCAGACGTGTGTAAATCATTACAACTGAGAAATCTGGATGGATGTTTAGAGTAAGTCATCTCAGCAAGAAAGGTAAGATTATTTAAATACCAGTTGGGTTTTTTACTCCCCTAAACTCTCTCCACTGAAAAAACAATAAAAAAAACAATGATTCAAATCCACAGTGAAAACTCTGGTATCTATTGTCAGCATTTGGCAAAATGAAATCCTAGAATAACAGCTGAGCTCAAGATGTTTGCGAAATACAACCAGACATCCCAAACACTTAAAATGCACTGTAAATACATTTCTATCGATTCAGTGTCCCTCAGGCAACGAGTGGCTGTCAAGCGTTAGATAGTATGTCATTAAAATCTAGCATTTAGACAAACTGACACGTTTTAAATCCACAGAGTGTTTTGTAGTCTTCCTTAATCCACCAGGAATTTATTATTTCTAAAGAAACTCTGGAAGACTGCCTGGGAGGAAAAAATTCCCAACACTTAATCATCTCAATGCCAGGGCATTGAAAAGGTATAAAACACATATTTACCAAATCAATTCTCTGCAAAGGATAACAGACATAAATGGATCCATTTAAAAAAGGAACAAAGCTATACAAAAAGTGCCTTCCAGGGAAATCTAAAAAAAAAAAAGTCATTATTTCGGTCACTCGTTTAGGAATATTAAACTCATATTTATTCATAACACAAAGAAGGGAATATTGTTTCCTTTAGCTGTATGGCTTGCAGATAATACAATAAAGGTTAGTGGTAAAGTAGCAGCTTGTCCATAGAATGCTACATAAAAGATTATTTATAGAAAGAGGAGTGGAAGGAAAAATTGTGATAAGAAAAGTTACATCAGCAAAAAGGATAACTGCAGCATCAGGACTTTTAAGCAAAATCCATTCAGCAATATAGGGGTGACTTTAACAGACCAGTCGGGCATATGGGCTACAAATGTGGCAAAGCCTCTCCTGCACTAGAAACAACTCCAGAAGTGTATCACCTGGCTAACGAGACAAGGTACCAGATTATTGCTTTCTGATCATGGGTCCTCTTTTTAGACAAAAACCAAAGTTAATAATAATTGATTTTTGACTGAACTTTATTGATCTCACACTGGAGAAATGTACCTCTGCATTTAACCCATCTCCTTGGGGAGCAGTGGGCTGCCATTGTGTGGCGCCAGGGGAGCAGTGTGGGGTTAAAAGTTTTGCTCAGGAACCTAGAGTGCAAGCTGTGGGGAATTAACTGGGTACTTGCAACCTTCTCAGAGCAAAAACACACTGCTCTAACCATTTAAATCTGACAGTAGGGAGGAAATTTGAAGGCCAGTGCGAAGTGGCGTCTGCTGTTGTTGGTCTGCTGCTTCCTGAAGTCCACAGTCATCAGGAACCTGCCCACAAAGTAGCAAAAAAGCTGGCAATCACTATGGTGCTACTATAGCCTGACCCGAACCTCACATAGGCTCTATGGGGCTGTGTGACACCAGAACCATTAGGGTAGATCACCTGAAGGCAAATTGGGCTTTCATTACACCTTAGCAGAACCACAAACTGATGGCCTCCACACCAAGCCGCATGGATGCATCAATTCATACAAAAGGAGGCCCAAACTGGTGTGAAGTTTATAAAAATTAACATTTCTGCTTTAAATAATCTTATTTTCTTACCTAAAGACATCAAATTTGGAATTTTCATTTTCTGTAAGCTTTATCCTCAGAAAAAATAAAAGTTTTACATTTTTCAACCTCTATTCATCTTAGTTAATAAATAAAGACATTTAATGGGGGAAAGGGTTTTTTTTTTTGAAGCAAGGTTTACTGGCTCATCCACTTTGACATATTTGTTACCATGAAATGGTTAAATCGGTCTGTAATGAGCCCTGCGCTCATTTTTATGACTGAATTGTGTTAAAATGTTTACCTGGTTTTATCTAAATAACAACTTGGAGTTCACAGTACTCTGCTACCTCTCTGAGCTCACATAACGCCTCTAAATGTGGAGGTTTTTTAGCTAGCTTATTTGCTGTTATTTAACTATAATTAAGCATTCATATACGCTATAAGAACATTAAAAGGGAGATTATTACAGCTAGTGAGCAGCGTTTTTAATGCGCCAACTAGCCGGTGTTAGCCGGGCCGGTCAGTGTGAGGTCTAGCGGTAAACTTACTAGAACTACAGTAATGTGGGCTGCTGTGTTGCTACCAGGCTGTAAAAGGCGAAGCGTGGAGGGATTTCCTGGGTCTCGGCACAGCAGCCTCCAGGTGCTCCCTATCGGTATCCGTCCGCGTTGCTCTCTTCTCGGGCTAACCATTCAGCCTCGGTCCGGGCGGTTATCAAAAGCAGCTGGGTCTCCCTAAAATAAAATGTAAAAAAAATAAAAATAAACGAGGACACAGAGAGCCGCTCTGACGGCTACAGCCTCCCTCCGCTGATGCTGGAAACACCGGACATCTCTGTCTGTCTCTCCTGGACCGAGCAGGTTATCTATCTCCCACCAGCCGCTCTTCTTCAAAGTAAAAACGGCTAAAACATTAAAAAAGGGCCGCGCGCCGCTGCTGCTGTCCTGTTTGCTGACCTATTTCCCAAATATTTTAACGCCTGATTTTTTTTCTTTTTTTTTTAACGATCAAACAGCGTCATCATTCAATGTAATACGTGCTGACGTCATTCCGCGGCGACTTTCGGAGGGGATCCAATATATATTTTATATATACACATACCGTTTTTTAATAATAATAAAGCCCCAAGTTTTCATACTCAAACAAGTATTTTAGTTAATCACAGTCGGCTCGTAAAGCGGCCTGGAGGGCGACAATCAGCGCAAAAGGTCGTAAACTCATCCGTTTCCGATTGGGCTGTGAGCCAGAGTGTCCTCAGATGACCTGAGAGGGAAAATGAGAAGCTACTTAAGGACACGCTACTAGTTCACTGCAGTCAAGGTGATCCTCCTCACTGCTGCGCAGGGTTATACTGTTTTGAATAGTTTTGATAAGATTAAAGAAAAATAGGTCGTTAAATTCGCAAACACTTCCTTGTAAAAAGTATTCAAACCCTTTTCTTATTTCCGTGCAATACTACAGCCAGTGGCTGCTCACCACCTTATTTATAGAGGCAGGGCCCAGAGACATAGTTTATCATTTAAAATATATCAAGAGACCCGCGCATGGGCGTAGGTTTGTATAGGGACCATAGGGACATGTCCCTACCAACATTTTGGATCGACCTACTTGTCCCTACCAATAATTCGATGTGAACAACATGTTTATAATTACAATACACCGTTATTGCATAAGGAGCTATTTAAAGAGTCAGACAGTAAGCAATATAGGATGATGATTAAAGGTTGTGTTACATTTAATCCTTTACCATTAAAAACACACTTGTATAATAGAAACATTATATGATTGTAGGAAACACAGATATAATGATGCAGGGCATCCTCATGGTGAAGCAGCTGCCCTTCAGTGCTGTATTATGGGAGAAATGTGTTTGGAATGTTACCATAAAATTAGGGCTGCAATTAATTAATATTTTGCAAATTGATAAATCTGTCAATTATTTTTTTCGATGAATCAATTAATAATCAAAAAGAAAAAAAAGATTTTTTACTACATGAAACAAGGTGAAACACAAACTTTTCCTCTTGAGGAGTTCTGGATGCAGAATATTTAAAGACAAAAACCTTTTTTTAATCTCAAATGCAAAATGTTTACATATTTTTTACAATCTTGGTATAATTCCTGCTCTAAGTGGGGCGCTCTGTCGGGTAAAGGCACATTTTAGTGGCCCTATACACCAGTTAATGATTAATCAATTACTAAATTAGTTGACAATTATTTAAATAATCGATTAATATGATTAATTGTTTCAGCCCGAGATAAAATACATGAAATGGGCTACACAGAGTAACTACAGCCCATATGTACAACTTGTATAGTGAAGTTAATATTTGAAATGCTCAGTGTCAGTTCCTCTTATAGTTCCAGTGCACATGCAAATACAATACAATTATTTACCTTCCCTTGAATGTATTATTTTTCATGATACAGACAAAGCATATTAGATTAAAAATAAAATAAGAGTGGGGTTTACCTCTGTTTTCCTCTGCACAATTTTATATCTTCAAAAGAAAACAGGATAAATCCACATATGACGGACATATTTAGACTATGTTTGGTTAAATAGGCACTGTCTTAGTTGCTGGTAAGTTTAAATGCAAACCTTTTCAAAGTGGAAAAACATTGATAAACAGGATCTAGTGTGTGTAGTGCTTATAAGATTGGTATTAATGTAGCAAGAAATGCTGCTGTTTTCTTTCAACAAAATGTGCTCTGATGCTCACATTAAGCATAAAAAAACAGCATGCAAATTTTGACATAGGACCAATGACATCAGACCAATGAAACTGCAGAACAAAGGACCCGCAGAACAAAAGAGCCACATGTGAAATCTCAATTTAATTCAATTTAATTAGAAATTTCTGTTCTGTTTTTGGTTTGAAAGTAAAAAATTTATTTAACAATTTATTATTTATTTATTTTTTAAAATCTCTTACCATGGGTATTTCCTAAATAAATATCTACTAAAAAATAAAATAAAAGTGTTACTTTCGAATATTTAGTTAATCTACATTCATAATTTAGGAATATAACATATTTTGGGTATTTTACATTAAAATTACAAGTTCAAATCAAATCATTAGTAGAAATTAAGTAAAACTGAGAAATTTAGCTTGATTAAATTAAAGTTTTTTTATCCCAGTTTGGTTAAAAATTAATTTTAGCAGAAGATAACTGTGGCTCTCCTCGCAATATGGCTGAAATGATCACCTTAATTTATAGATCTCGGTTAAAACAGAATTGCAGAGTTAAAATGAAATGGTTCCAAGGAACATCTAACTTATTATGTCTCTTCCAGCTCATATCTTTTTTTTTTTTTTATCATGTCTTTAGAACAGGGGCCAGGACCAGGTCTATAGGAGCCGTGGCCCCTGTTGTTGGGATTTTGCATCATGGGCCTACATTGAGTTAAATATAATGGAAGAAAAATACATTTTGTAATAGAAAAATAAGAAAAGTTCAGGGGTTTCCAGATCCTAGTTGATCCTTGATGGAAGTGATTAAAGATTTCTTCTCATCACTACATTTCTCAAATTCAAAACAAAAAAAAATCAGAGGGTGAACATCTGTCATGTTTTTAAACGTTGGTGCCAAATTCAGGGAGCAAAGGGGCTCAGAAGCCATGCAAAGGTTGTCTCTTTTCTCCTTTGTAAATTGTATTTGGCAGTTGGCAAACAACTGTAGGTGTGCATTACGGCCATCACTGATTTGGAGTGTGGACTGGTTGCTATTTTTCTTCTTAACAGGTAAGTTAAATGGCTAAATTAGCGTTAGCAGACCTGGAGAATCTCTGGCAAAATGATACAAAATCGGATCAGATGAGCTTGACTGCGCCACTTACTGGAGTTAAACTTGTAGTTATCACCTTTAAATATAAAGAATCCGACAAAAGCTAATTACCTCTTGGGTCTTTGGAGCTGCATGTTGCAGACTCCTGATCTAGCCTATATGAAAATGAGATTATATCTCTGTGTGGTTAAAGTTAGAAGTGCTTTTTAAAATAAAGCTGTAAAACAGACTGGTCCAATCAACCAGTCAGTCATTGGTTTATATGAAATTGATTGTGTCGTGTCTTAGCAGAGTGGCCATGACAGCGGCCAGCACCAATTCTACAGAGGAACTCGCTTCTGCTGGACCGTCTATAAGGTTTCTCCCTCACATCAAAGCTCACTGATCAGAGAAAATTACCTTTTTTATTTTTACTGTGAAGGTGTGCTACATTCTTCCTGGAGAGGGCGGCCAATGACTGCTCTAAGTAGACCTACCAAGATCACTTGTTTTTTTCTGGACTGGGAGGAGCTGCTGCTGAGATAGCTTAATTCGTCAGGATTACTCAGACATGTAAGAGTGAGAAATAAATACCACTAAATTTATGATTTTGATTTAGGTTACAGCTGTTTAATGGAAGACTGCCCAATGGGAGCTGTGGTCACTATGTAGCTTACCACCATCAGTGTGTGAATGACGGAATGTAAAGTGCTTTGGAGTCCTTGGCCTTGCTAAATAGCTGTATGAAATACATAAACATTGATATAACAGTTGGAGGCTGCAAGGGCCTGAGAGGTTTAAGCAGGACATCGTAAAACATGAAATCAAACCGTTGAATGGGTCTCAGGTTTTACTCAAAGCGTATTCATGTTTCAGAATGACACAAAACATAGAGAATAAATGGCAATACTAAGACTGATGTGCAGATGCTCCTCCATCCAGATTTAAGGTCTACATTTGTCTTTAAAATACTCACACCTGCAACGGTGTGTTGCATAACAGAAACGTATGGATGTCCCAAGATGTTTGACATTGAAAAAAACCTTTAAAAAAAACGTTTTTTTTAACATTTCCTCCATTTCACTATAAAGCCCTGCTTTGCGTTAATCCTATTAACAAAACCCAATTAATACACTTAACATTTAATGGTGTAATGTGACCAAACATGAAAAAGGACGTATGGTTTATTCAAAATGATCTTCATTTAGCTTATGCAGAGGTAGGTCACCAGTCTACTGACCTACTTGCATATAACCATCACATTGCCCCATTCTCAAATCCAACACAGAAAATTTATAAAAATATCCCTGATCACATGACATGTATTCAGATACATATTTTTCACGCTGAGCTTAAATATTCTGTGCTACAGCAGTAATACCAGTCTAGACAAATGTAAGATAATTTACAAGCTTGAAGTGTGGCATTAGTTACAATTTTTCTACTAAATTATTACATCTACAGACCAGTTTGAAAGTTTTTTTTTTTTTTAGCATACCTATCGTAAACAGATGGATTTTGCCTCCACTGTTACTTAAATCATTCTTTTTAATCAAAGCATGGAAAATCTGAGGCCCATTTCTTCGGGAAGAGAAACGTGGGACATTTTGTTCAATCACAATGCATCAGCAATTCCTTGTAATCGGATTTTAAATTAGTTGGATTTTAACTAATAATTAATAAAAAATAATGAATTGTGCTGTTGGGTTTTTCTCCTTAATTGATGCAGGATATGGTAGATAACGGCAACAGACAAACAATAAACTTCCTCCATACTTTTCAAATATCTATTTATTTCATAGTTTGTATAAAAACATCACCACATTGATAAAGTCTGTTTTTTTAATGGGTCTGTTAGAGTTAATGCTGCTGGATTCAAAAACTATTGTTGCGGAGCTCTAAACATTTTTAAACAGTGATGCCAATAGTGGTTACAGAAATAAATGTCACACAATGATCACTGACGGTTTACAGATTGTATTTAATTTAGTCCCACTCTCAGTGAAATGTCAAACATGGGTTCATAGGAAAATGGAGAAATAAAATCATCAGTTTATTCCTTTTACAGTTTGCAGTTTCACAAGTGCAGAAGATCTGAAAGCACAAATGATAAACAATAATAATAACAGGTGAAAAAGCCTTTAATTACATATAAACAAGCTGTAATATAAAGCTTCATCCAAATAACAAATATAGATAACTATTGTTTTCTACAATAAAAGTAGGATCAATGCCTTAATATTCACATGGATGACGAGGATTAAGTCAATATTTTCTCCAAAATCAGTCTGAATGATCAGAAGTCTTTGATTTCTATCTCCAACTCCTAAAAA